CATATATATATACATATATACATTATTATTTGTATTTTTTATTTTCAATTAAATAAAAATGACCTTGTTTGGTGGTTGTGTATGTTTTTATTTTTCTGTGTATTTCTGTGTGATTCTTTTAACTAAATGAATTGCATCAAAATCTTCTGATTTGCATTTTACATAAATTTACAACTGAACAAACAAAGCTGATCATTTACTCTCCTGCTGTTCATTTTTCAACTTATTCCCCAAATTTTTATGAATGAACTCCAAAAAGATGTCACTTTTCCTGTTTTTAGAGGATCGTGTTAGAAGATTAGACTATAGTAAGTCATTAACTGCACATCAGGGCTGAGTCTCTTCAGAGAACTCTTCTGGAGAGCCCTCAGAAAGATTAAACAGGCCACGAATCGACTGTTTTCTGACACTAATGTCAAGAGGACGATTTTTCTTGTCAGTCTATTTGAAAAACAAACTGATTTACTCTTGAAAGTGTTTTTTTAATATCCAACTTTCCAAGAAAAACACTTTCAATCAAGAATATTTCAGTCAGGTATCCTGATGCATGCTCAATAATCCAGGTAGAAAAGTCCAAAAAAGTTCAATCTGGTCCTCTGGACATTCAAAAAGATGTTTTTTATTTTTTTTTTTTTTTTTTTTTTGAATGTCCAGAGGACCAGATTGAACTTTTTTGGATTTCAGTCAGGTCTCACAGATGTTCTCTGATGTAATGCCCTTACTCACCGCACGAGGGCAGCAGTGAGTCTATGATAGCGCTTCATCAGCTTTTATCAGATCAGCACACATTAAATAAGGCGGAAACCATCCTGCTGTCAAATAGATCTGCAAACAACTCCATCAAGCTGCAAATCAAATTCGTGCCGGCGCACGAGGAGCTTAATACCTGAAGCAGGCTGTGTGAAAACACCTCGGCCGAACAGATTCCTCAGCAGTGAACCGTCTTTATTTTACATTATTTATTTGGACGAGAATAAACATGACATTGAGATATCAGAATAAAAATCATTTGCATGTCCATTATGTTTTGAAGAGGGATTTATGTTCCTGTTTAGGAAGTTGCTCAACATTTTAGGTGTAGAAAATTACACCAGAAATTGAACATAAACTTGAGCACCGTGCAGCATCGTGCTTTTATTAAAGATTCAATGTGAGTGGTGGGTGGTAAACAGAAAGACACCCCCCCCCCCCCCCCACTCTGCATGGTATTAGAAGTCCTCTCTCCCCTGCGCTCACTCGCTCTCTTCATTCAGGCCGTTTGGCAAAAAGCGCAGCATTGCGCCAGAGCGCGCACATCCTGAGCAGGACGCATCTTTACTAACGGAAATAAAACAGACAGAAATCTATCAGCATTTTTTTTTTTTAATCCTTGCTTGCTTTTTTTTCTTCATTATTCACAAGTGGACTGTGGCTGTTGGAGTCCAGTGATTTGTATTTATTTTTTCCACTCCGGATGCTCAACAGAGTCTAACAAAAAAGTTGGAGTGAAGATTTATTTAACTTTTTGCTCGATTCGACCACATTAGGAAACATTTAGGTGACAGAGATGGATGTTTTTGAGCTAAACGAGACCTCCGTGAGCTCAGAGGAGACACTGAACATCTCTTATGGCAACGAGTCCGCGCGCCTCATTCCACAGCGCGCCAGGCACGGAGGTAAGAGCATGCTGGAATCAACACCAAATAAGAAAGAGAACATTAAGCTTTGACATGATGTCATGCTTCTGCGGCGTCAAAATGAGTTTTATTCAACAATTAATAACATTTAGGAAGTAAAAGGGAAAACTATTCTTGGAGACATCAAAAGGGAACACGGCTGTGCGTTACTTCCTCTCAAAGATCAGGTGAACAGATAAAAACAAGGTGTAACTCAGTGGTTTGATAAGAACAATGTCTTTCAAAAGGCATGAATGAGACATTTTATTTATTAATTTATCTTCCGTCCCTGAAAGATGAGGGCGGATTATGTTTCTCCTGCGCGCGCGCGTGCGTCTGTTACCAAAAGCATTTCATGAAGCACAGGGCTGATCTTAACACAACTTGCAGAAATGAATCTTTGGATGTGAACCTCACTTTTGAGTCACATCAATTTAAAATGACCGCAGAAAAATAATGGAAATGCCTCGATCATTTGAAAGATTATCACCTAAAGTTTAGCTACATAAACTGCATGAGATCTTTAATTCTAAATTTGCCAATAATTATTTGAACTTGACTCAGCAGGTCTGTTAGCAAAATATCTCATGAGCCAATGGATGGGGTGTAATGAAACTTTCAGTAAATAATTAGATGAGCATCTGAATAACTGTTGGAACCAACCATTTTAAAATGGCCGCAACAGCTAACTGAAATTAGAACACACAGAAAAGGCTATTAGTCAATTTTACACACATGCACACACGTATATGTATATACATTTTTTTTAATTTTTAAATTTAAATTTTTTTCATTTTTTCATTCATTTTTTTCATTGAGTCATGAGAAGTCATTTTCAAGAGAGACCAGTTATTTGGGGGCAGATGGTGGGGGTTAAGGGCCTTGCTCAGGGGCTCAGAGTGAGGCAAATGAGGGTGGAGTCAGGTGTGGATGTTTCACCTTTTCCACCCATATTTTGATGTTGACGGTACCGGGAATTGATCCTGCGACATTCCGATCACAGGCCCATCTTCTCTACCCTCTGCACCACCACTTCCCTAATATGTTCTGGCAGGAGAGTCATTCACAACACATGCTCCATGCTACTCATTACACAAGATCTTTGCTTGATTTTTTTAAACAACTTTTCAGTTAATCTTGATTCTCTGTTAGCAAAATATCGACCATTAGATAGATTCCAATAGAACATGCAGACGGTAATCATTACCTGTACTAAGTGACATTTTTTTTAGAGTCAGTGGAAGAATGGCTGTGTTTGACATCAGCTGACACAAAAATGGCAAAAACTCAAGTTTTGTGTTTCCTGAACGAGCAGAACCTAAATGCAAAAACAAACAAAGAAACAAAAAAGAAGTCATAAAACCAAAACACAAAGGCTGACGAGGCAAACTCACAACTAAAAACTCAAGGAAATACTCACACATGAAAAACAAGAGACCTGAATGGGAAACCATCAGAACAGCACTGACAAGGGACAAACTGTTAGGATTTAAAGAGACACTAACGAGGGAAAAATAAACACCTGGGGTGATTTCTGATTGGGGACAGATGAGGGCTGGCTGGAAAAATACTGAGAAGACTGAGAGAGGGAGAAATGAAAAAACGATATGGGACAAAATAAAACACAAGCAGCAAGAAAACACCGAAAAACTAAACTGACAGAGAACAGACCAAACTCCATGTTCCAGATGTTGAGCTAACGTTTGGTGAGGACGTTGCTGAGATGATCTCATGATGCTGCACAGCGTTGTTTATAATATTCCTTTCAAGGATGGACCAAAACAGCTACAACACCTTCATCTGGGCGACTGTGGCTAAGTGGTTAGAGTAGGTGTTCTCCAATGGGAGAGTTGGGGGTTCAGTTCCACCAGCAGCCACATGCTGAAGACACTTAGCCCCTCGTTGCCTCTGATGTGTGTCCCATCTGTGTATGAATGTGATAAAACACTGATTAATCTCTGTATAGATATAGTAATATACAGTAAAGCTCTTTGAGTATTTTGATAAGATTTAAAGGAGTTATATAAGTACAGTCCATTTACCATTACTTTCTCAGAAAATGATGATTTTTCTCTAAAACTCTGGCGTGAAAGGCGGCGGGCGATATGCTTTCCTTCAAGGACGCAAGGCCTTTGATTGACATCTGTGTTTTTTACAGTCACGCTGAGATTTAAAGCTCTCTGTAAAATACAAGTTGTTGCAGCTGTACAGAGATATGAAAAAGCAAACCCTGTTTCCTCATGAACAACTCCAACCTGCTCTCAGCAGCTTTCTGAAGCATTTTCTTTGAATACATTGAGTATGTCATGAACACAACGCAAAGAGTCAAAACCAAAACGGATGAAAAATAATTTTGTAAAGTAATTGTCTGAACTAATCTTTATAAAGCATGCTATCAGTGAAGGATTTTTCAATTCATGGTGGCTGATTCAGTTCCCTCTCATTCACCTTCAAAAATCAGCTGTTATTGTTTTCTTCATTGATGCCAGATGTGCGTCACTGTTTCCCTGACGTCTGACACAAACCTGAGAACCTTCATTAGTGCGCGGCTGCTTCACTTATCAACACTTTAAATGAGAGGGAAGGTGTTTATTGGCTGCTGGTCTATTCTTTAAACATGTGTGTATTTATTTTGGGGGTGGTGTGTTACGTACCTGTGCAGCCATGAGACTGAAGGAATTTGAATACTAATCAAAGCAAGTTGGCTACTGAAACCATCAGAAGTGTTTAAATCAAAACATTATAAAATGTGTACAATGCACAAGCATGTAAAATCATAAATTTTGGTTGATAAACAGAGGGTGGTGGTGGTGGTGGTGGTGTGTGTGTGTGTGTGTGTGTGTGTGCAATTTAAGCTTATTATTAAATTACATAAAATGTTGTTTTTTTCAATCTGTTTGAAAAAAAACCTTGCTACTCTTTATGTTATGTCCAAAGTACCACATATTACTAATATTTATTTGTACAATTTCAGCATGTATATTGCTCAGTGTGTAATGCAACGTAATAATTATTTTTATATTTGTCAATAATGTTTAAAAATCATGGATATTTGTGTGAACTATATTTTCTAAACTTTTGTAACACCACTAGTTTTGCTTTACATTGTCATTAAGCAATAATTCATTTTTATTTTTTAATTCTTTTTAGCAAAGCACCAATAACAGCAGTAGCTAGATGTAACACTTCCAATGCAGGCTCCCATTTCTAGACAGAAATTCAGAAAATTTATACCAGAAAAACTGTGTAATGCAAAATTGATGATCATGTCTAATATGATGTTTTAGTACCCAGAGTAGTGTGGACTGAGGAAGAGAGACTGACACGTTCAAGTAAAGGTAAGTGACTTTATTTTCTGTGCTCAAAGGGTTTGGGTAGAATCTGGAAGGGAATGGAGGACAAGTAATTATCTTAGTAAAAATATTACATCAGACAAAGCGCTACAACTACTTACTTAAATTCTTCAGTATGTTTAGCAGGCGCAACACGGTGGAGCAACTGATAGAGCTGCTGCCTCTCAGCGAGCAGGTCTCTGGATCAAATCCCGGTCCGGGGGCCTTTCTGGGTGGAGTCTGCATGTTCTCTCGTGCATGTGTGGGTTTTCTCCGGATACCCGGGCTTCCTCCCACAGACCAAAAACATGCATATTAGGCTAATTGGTAACTCTAATTTGTCCCTAGGTGTGAGTGAGAGAGTGGATGGTTGTTTGTCTTTGTGTCCCTGTGATGGACTTGCGACCTGTCCAGGATGTCCCTCGCCCCTCACACAGTGATTGCTGGACATAGGCACCGGTGACCCTCATGACCCAAAATGGAAGAAGTGGGTAAAAGATAATGGATGGATGGATGTTTAGCAGGCTTGGAGTTGAGGGTGAAGCACTTGGTTAGAAAGGTGAGTAGAATGAGTCAGAGTGACGAAACTCAGAGTCTGATCCGGAGATGTTGTTTGTAGGCAGGTGACAAGGTGATGTCCAGGAGGAGGTTCCACAGAGGGGTTCTGCTTTGCAGGTACAAAGAGAGTGATGTTCATGAGGAGGAACCACATAGCCAGGACTAGGAGGCACAAGGAAATATACAGGTTAGTATATATTTTCTTAGACAGTAACTATACTGCTAGTTGGTAGCATAATGTTCCAGCAGAGAAGATCTGATCTGAAGGTCCTTCCTTAAGTATACCAGAAGCTTGTCAGCTAGGAACAGAATCAGCTGTGATGTTATGGCTCCACCCTGCCACTCACAGGCTGCAAGAAAGTGGTTACAAAAAATACTGGAATCCTGCGGTATCCTTCTATCAAAAATCGCCAATAGCCAATTTAAAACGTTTTTGGAGTGGGCCTGATAAAAGGAAGAGATTAGGCCGGAGTTGAAGATGAAAGACCTGGGGACCAATGATCTCTCTTCAGGACCATATCCCTCTCAGTCCACCAGGTACTGGAATACCCAACTTCTATGATGTACAGTAGTCCCTCGCTGCTTTGCAGTCTGACTTTCAAGGACTTGCTCTTCTGTGGTGGTGGGGCGGAGGGTGGAGGGAGCCTGAAAGGAGGGTTTAACAGACTCTCTGATGTTGGTTTAATTTGTGAAACATGGAATGTGGAATGGATCCTCATGGAGGGAGGAAACTTAAGTCTGACAGTGGATGGGCTGATAATTTTCACAATAGGGAAAGGACAGATAAACCTAAAGACAAGTTTCTTGGGAGTGTCTTTAATGTTAATGTCCCTGGTGGAAAGCCATACCTACCTGTTAGGTAGGCGCTGAAGATGTGTGCCTCTCGGTGAACTGTTTGTTTTGTTTGGCAATATGCAGGTGGGCCTCTTTGATCTGCCATCAAACTCTGCAATATTTGCAAAGATGATGTTGTACTGAGGGACTGAGATGTCAGACTACTAGCTGAGGAACAGAGGAAGATAATGTTCCAAGGATACTTTGAACAGGGACAAACCAGTAGCTGATAAAACGAGAGAGTTACGCGCATATTCTGTCCAAGGTAAGTGCTGA